TATTTAATTTCTATTACTCAGATATAAAGAATTTACGCTTCTCTATTTCTTGCCTGTGAGAGTTCAGTGAATTTAAAATGGGTTATTCAGATCATAGACAAGAGTTAATTCTATGTAGTTCGTAGATCGGAAGTCTGTTGCATGTGGCTTCTTATCATTAAGCTTCAGCTTTCGCTTTTACCTTCTTTTCTTCTATTTTTAGATTTCTAAGAATAGAATATTACGTGATACTAAAGTAGCTAAAATTAAATGGCTTTTTGAGAGTACCTCTCTTTAATAAAACGCTTTCCCAGCGAATATACTCAAACAAGTTGTTCAGTTAGCTTCTTTAACAATCTGTTTCATAATAAATTTAAAATAAGTTATGTCGAATTTTTGTTACGTCGAACAAACGCTTCGTAAATTTTCTACTGTTATTCGAAGAATTATAATTAGTTTTTGTATTGTTTAGAAACATATCTTATAAGTTTTCTTTTTCTATTTTTTTTCTATATGTCTCTAAAGCATTTTTAACATTCAAATACAAGCAAAGTTGCATAAAATTCAATTTTTAATTATGGTGAACTATAGCACTTTATTTGCTACTGATTGCTCAGTTTATCTTGGTTGATCTTCAATTAAATTTCATTGGTTGATCTTCAATTAAATTTCAATTGTCTCGCTATAGCGTTTGGTTGAATCATGGTTAATCTCTGGTTTAGTCTTAATTAAATAGCAGTAAAATCTCAATTAGTTACGAAGTTGCATGTCGAATTCTAAAACTCGATTAGTTACTCTGTTTTAATTACGTTCTGTATTTTTCTTTCATTCCCAAGTATTACGAATACTTCGATCGTATTCTTAATCAATTTAATTAATTAGTAAGTAGTCAATAAATTTTTAATATTTTATCTACCAGATTAGAGTTTAATATTCGACAGAAACTCTAATTTTCCTTTTACGTTCGTCTATCCGTGCAAATCCTTTGACTGTCCCACAGGATTTTTTCAATATCGATATGAAAATTTTTCTATCTATGAAATAAAATTCAATAAAAGTAGGAAGTTTTTTAATCGTTCAACTGTCATGATCTCTATTTGAGAATTATAAGAAGAAATTTTTATTATTTTCGAAGCATTGAATATTTCGGAGCATTATATATATTATATATCGCTGTGACGTAATAAAAATATTCCCATTATTTCCAAATATTGCCATTTCATTAAATATTAACATAATAATTTTACCAAAAATTTACGTTGTTGCGTACTTTCAAAAAACTTGAATCTTATTAAAACTGCTACGTCTATCATAAGATTCACATTTCACAAAGGCCACATCATGTTTCATCCGAGGATAACCACGAAAACAAGTGTACTTGACTGACAAAAGTATACCGGTGACTCGTGGTTTCAGAGTACGGTGCAGATATTCTCGTATGGCACGCATGTACCATATTTGCAACCCCCATATATGTACATCATGATACTGAAAGAGCTACTTGACCATGGTTAATGACTACGGTGAGAGCATTATTGGTGGTTTCTGACCTACCTCTCTATCGTTTTCGTTCGCATACTTCTTTGGTCAAAATAAACACCAGTTTACGTCGATCGATCTAATTTTCAAGTTTCGTGCCCGACGCGTGCCAATACGAAGGCAAATTTGTCTACAACTTAAAGTGTAACACGACTAGCCGACACTCCCCCGATTAATCATTAGTTTAATCATGAAATTAGGCCTGTCAAATATATCGTATAGTGATTTAGTAAATTACTTTGAAAATGCTGTTGACTAGAGGCAGGCAACGTTTAAGATTGGCATATTGCTTTGCTGTTTGGGAACAATGAAATTATTATATATTTATAATCATTATTAATTATATATTTATTATATTACCACTTGTAAATTAGAAATTGTACTCTACGAATAAAGTATTTAACTATGTACTATATTATACAAATACTATAAAACATTATATAAATTTCTTCTTGAAATAGAGAGAATTATTAGCGAACGATTCGTAATTGAAACGTTATAGCGGAATATCTTTCATTCTAGAGTATTATATCACGATGATGCATTTCACTCTCAATTATTAATTTCTAAGAGATCGTAGCTCTTTGTTACTTAATCCTACCTTTATCCTAGATAGCCGTTTTTAATCCTGGATCGACGATCAAATGCAACGATTAGTTTGCAAAGCTGTGTTTACCATTAAAATTCAATCTTAACTATGGTTTTCAATCTAGATTGTAAAAATACCTATTTGAAATTGATTTGTCCTTATTACATAATTTCAGAATTATATACAAATTAATTTGTTCTTATTGCATAATTTATAATCTCAGAATTATATAGAATATAGAAATATGTAGAAATAGGCTAGGGAATAGTTAACAAGTTGATACAATGAGACAGTTCGTATGTGGAAATGTTACTAATTTATAAATAGAGAAGAGAAAGTGTTAGCATGAAGTTAACATTTTGAAAATGAATGTGTTTGAACGATACATTTTAGGTGATAATTTGTGAGCAAAGTTTTCAGAGTCTATAGTTCAGATTTCGGAATATATAATATATATATTAGATTTATGGTGATATAAAATAGGTTCGAAATAATTCTTTGTCTGTGTTACGTTGAATCAGATTATTTTCGATTCAATTTGATCTTAGTTTATTGTCAAGATCCTTGAATTTTATGAACTGTTAACTGCTGTTAGGTGAATTGGTAATAGTGTTTATATTCCATTAATATTTGAAAGAGATCTTCGATGTAGTAAAACTGCTATTATTAAGTTATTAATTATATACGGTGATGATATATCGAATTCCTCGAATAAATAAAATTAATTGTGAGTAAAAACTTTTCAAAGCTGTTTGTTTTGAATTCTTCGTTATTTCACTACGCCGTTAGAGAATTAATCAGAATCCAGAATTTATTGAATCAAACACTCTTTGCGTTCTCAGTTTGTACATCAAGAAGTTCGAATAAAAAATTTTATTTATTAATTATTTTCTCGATGTTAGCTCGAAATCATATATTTTAGATTTACAATCTAGAATTTGAAATCAATGCTGAAGATTTATGCGATTAAATTAATTCGAACGTAAAAACACCGAAACGTGCTTGTCGATAATCTTACTATACGTACTATAGATATCGAGTTAAGCATTGTTCATTGAGGTCCATTGAAATATCCAATTCCAGTCCTATTTTAGTAAATGGTACCAAGGATTCCTTTCTGTTTTCAACTACTTCTATGAACAATGTTCGTCACGAATCAATAGTGGAAAATAATATAATTACCTATCACCTCATGAGTTTCGTCTCGACAATAGATTCCTACCGCGCTGAAATTGGAGCTTAGAAAAGCTTCCACATGCTCAGCACAGCGTTCTTCACTGCAAGTAGATATTTAAAGGGGAATTACAACAATGAACGAGGGAACTGAATCTTCCAAGGACAACATCGGAAAAAGAATCGCAGAAATTAAAGAGAACGACGACGCGAGCGCGCATTAAAACTCAATAATGCGAAAGCGGTTTAAAAACGATTAAAAATACGCCGCGGCGGGAAAGATACTGATAGGTGGAAATGGAATTTCAGCAATTTCAGGAATTTCAGAATGAATTCCCTATAAGGAATTGTTTAAAACAACACAAGGAACAACGCAAGGATATTTCAAAGTAAATAGAACAAAGGACCGTGAGGAAGGAATTCCGGTAATAAAAAATAATTCGAATTCATTGAGAAGAATTTTCAATATGAAAAGGACACAGGTTCTAGTAGTGAGAAGAAATGAAAGATAGTTTAGAACAAAAATATTCCAACGATAAGAAGGAAAAAATAAATAAATAAATAGCACAGAAACATTAAATTAAGAATATTGAATTATGATTGAAGCATATATATATATATATATATATTTCAGATTGAAATATTTCAAACTATCAATTCACTTATTTAAATATCTCAAACCTTAGCTCCGTGGCTTGTATCGAGGCTACATATAGAGAACGAGATACATATATTCATTTTATATTGAAGCGAAACAAGAGGGAACAATTTGTTTCATAACAATGTGTAGGGGCGGATGTGCTGAAGCTTGTGTAAAATTCGATACCAGTCGAATTTGGTTGCCGATTTTCTTTACAGTGCCATATACGCTTAATCGATAGCCTGGTTTCGATAGGATTGTTGCACATGCGGTCGCGTGCTATTGAACCAGAACGAAGTAGAGAATGAAAATCCTTTGCTTTCAACTGCTTCTCCCCCCTCCCTTCTCTCTCCCTCCTTTTTCCACCCCCCGAGAGACCCATGATCGTGCACAAGAAGAAGCGTTTTGCGTTCTCTGCATGCAAAATGAATCTCTGCCAGATGAAGAGAAGAAACAGAGAGAAGAAAGGAAGATGGAGAAACTGTGATAACACGCCGACAGATCATAAAAGCTTTCTTTATTTGACTTCGGGAAATTCTGCTGGGTCATCGTAAGCATCTCTCACAGGCGAGAAATGGAAATAAACCGTTCCAATCTTCGCAGCGGGCTCATGAACTTCTGCTTGCCAATATATTTCCCTAATTTCGTTTGGAACTGTTTATTTGGCCTTTCCGATGCTTTTGGAAGTTGATCGGTTCGTTTGCAACGAGAACGAAGGATCGTTTAATTCGCGTTCTCCCCGTTCGTTTGTTTTTTTTTTCTCTTCTTTTTTTCTAAGGATAGAATTGGTACGTTAATCGCTGTTAACTGTAGAGTGTCGTATTGACGTATATAGTTAGGCTAGCAAAGGTGAATAAATCCGATCGTTTTTTTTATACGATAGCTTTTCATTGAATTGAACGTGGAGAAATTGATTGCACCCTAGAAATAGGAGACGCGGCATTTAAATTTTAATCAGCTCTTTCTATTTAGTTTTCTATTCAATTTTTCTATTCAGTTGCGTTGCAACAATTGTTTTTAGTGTATTAATGCAGACACAGGACGAACGTTCCAAAATAGAGAAGAAATAACAAACAAAAAATTGCAGAGTAGATTTATTCAAACTACAATGCTTTTTCTCCGCAATGAATAGATCCATTGGCTAGGCCTTCAATCAATGATTATTTGAGAGTCACGAATGGCAGGTGTGTTGTTTGACTACGTCAGCGTTAATTCAGGATTTTCAAACTACGTGGAAAACAGTTCAAATCTGCGAAAAGTTTTTGAATGTTGGCGCATATATGAACGAAGTGTCGTGCATAAAGTGTCATTACATAAAAGAATGTAAAGTACCTCAGGAATTCTATTCAGAACTTTTAAATTACATCTCTCTTCACTCTTGCAGCTGTGACAGGGTTCGGAATTTTCTTCGACATGTGCTCCGTGAAAATTCCTCGTACTGCGAGATTGAATAAAAATTGTAATAAAACTTGAATAAAAATTATATTTTTTACTAACACGCGAGATTTATTTGTTACAGTTATTTAATTGCTATTGTAAGAACGAAATAGAAGAATCGATAGAACGGTGCCAATTATTTATGCAACGACACTCGACATTTACGCGAATGAGTTTCCGTGGAATGGCGTATTTAAATAGATCTGAATCGACATTGAAATTAACCACACATTCACACTCTGTATTTTAGGATATATGTTCGCGCTTATCACACGTCTAAATTTAAGCAGGGAAATTTACTACACAGAAAGTTGAAATTACAATCGTAGAGTACGACTCTAATTAGAAATGTAATAAATCATAAAAATTTAGAATTTTCTTTTAAAAATTTAGAAGTTTTTTTTAGAAAAACAGGCAATGAAATATAGAATTTTTTTAAAATTTTCAAGTTAAAATATATAAACGTTAAATTTAAAAATATAGAATTTTTTAAATTAAACCACAATAATTTGAGAGACTCTCCATTGAAAAAAATATAGAAAATCGGAAGCTTTTGAATTGAACATTGAAGATCTTGGAAAGAAGATTCCAAATTATAAATGATTTACAGTTTTAGTTTAACTGTAATCTTAAAAAATTGTAATAAAAAAAGTATATAAAATTTTAAGCACCAATATTAATATTATTATGAATACGTAAGCTTTTTCTGTGTTAAAAAATATTAATTGACTATTTCTTGTTTCTTTAAATTACAAAATTAAATTTATTTTGACAGAATTTACATGATTATATAGAAGTTTAGAACGAGCTTTTTTTTTATTGCTTTTTGTAGTAAATTCCCTTTATTTACATAGAGTTAACACAGTTCTATCGGCATATCTAAATTGAAAATCTTCGGTCGATCGAACCGCGAATCGAATTATGAAATTCATTTGTGACGCTTGCGTTGTTTCCTTATTACCCGATAAAATTATATCACATCTTTGCTGTCATTTACAATTAGGATCGCGTTATGTTTTTGCAAGTTTGACGTTAGAGAAAGATAGAGTCTTGCTCTTTCACGATTCGCTTTATTTCTTCACGTTGAACACAATAACGGAACGAAATAGAAATTTTATGTTTCTTCGAATTTGAAATCTCGAATGCCAAAAAAAATTAGAAGTGAAAATTTTCAAAGTTAAATTACAGAAAAAGAAGAAGAACGAATTGAAAGAGATTCTTTATTGGAAAAATTTTGAATTTCAAATATGAAACTGATTGAAAGTGTTCCAACTAGAGACGTCGAAAATTGAAAAATTTTAAATTTCAGTCACGACGAATTGAAAGACGTTCTATCTAAGGAGGCTGTCTTTCAAATTTTAAATACATACACATAATGAAATGAGAGTCATCGAGTTTGAAATGTAGAAAGAATTGTTGACAGAAAGTACGGATTTGAAGTATAGAAGAATTTGAAGTTAAGAAAGTAAAGTTTCTACCGTCCAACCAAACCTAAAACTCTTACGTGACAATATGAATTGTTGCAGCAAAGATTATTGCAGGATATTCCTATTTTTTGATAAAAGAATTATCTTATTTAAATAGAAAAGAGCAACAGCCTTTTCGACGCAATCTGCATATAAAGCGTGACTTTAAATCGAATTCCAAAAGTGAAATTATAGCGCGCGGAAAGTTTAATTAAACGAAGTTCTATCGGTACACGTTTAATTCGAGTATTTATGTAGTAGTTGCTCGAAGACAAGAACTTTGTTCCCGTACTTTTACATCAGAGTGGTATACTTTATTTTGGAAATTTTATCGATTGCGAAGACATATCGGCTCGCGGACAAATCGTTGACAAAAGTGAAATTTAATTTCAAGATCGAACAATCCAAACGCACTTGATTGATGGAAATTAAATGAAATGGGAAATGAGTCGCGTGAGATCTCATATATATATATAATCATGAAATGATTAATATTTTGAAATATTAATCAAAGTATTTATGTGTGAAAATTTGACGATCCTTGAGGAGATTTCTATTATGCGGGAAACGAGTGAAAATGAAATATTTGCCTGACAATTTCGGGTTGACATCTTTTTTGAACAAATTGATGCGAATAGGAATCTAGTATTTTGCGGCGCATTACATGACCTGTAATTCATTTATATGGGCATATAATAGAGCATTGTGCCGAGAGCTACGACTGAATTCTCCATTACCTGATCAAACGTTGAGAAATATTGTACGTTTCATAGTTTGGACCAGATTATGGAAACCGCATGCAGTTATTGAATTACACATTTCACGATCAAAGGGATTGAACGGATATTAAGAGTCGATCGGTTGAATTCAGTGGTCACGAGCCTCGACAAAATGCATCTCGAGGTTGTTCACGATGTGATAAATCTGTGGATTACATCGTTGACGCCATTCGACCACCAGCTGAAATAATAACACATGCTGGCGCTGTATGTTTTATCCAGCTGATAGAAAAATATTGATCTACGAATCGATATTCCTTTCGATTGACGTTACTCGATATATAACTGTACAATTTTATTTTATCACCCGTTTCGTTCCGTTTCGTTTCGTTTCGTTTTATTCGTTCAGTCAACCAAGTCGACGGGGATTTTCATGAAAAAGCACTCGCGCGAATGATACGACGTTTATTTTACACCCACAATTTTCTCTCTTATATTTTTTTCATATTTTTTTCATATGTTTGTCGTTTTCGAAGCTTTAAAAAAATTTTTCCAACGTATAATTTCTTAACGACATTAAGTTTAAGTTCCTTCATTTTTCTTTCTGCTGCAATTTGCAATTGTTCTCCTCCTTTTTTTTGTGTTTTTTCAGGATACAGAAATGTTATTTAAGCCCGAGAAAGATTTTTCTCGTACAAAGTTTAAATTTCAATTCCGCTGCGGAATTATTTAATATTTTATTCGAGTTTAAATTTCGGAGCGTCAGTTCTGTTAGTAAGTCATTTCCTTAGAAAAATATTTACGGAACTCGATAAAAATGACTGAATATGCGAGAAAAATCTTTGATTTAAAAATCTATGCGTTTCGTAACTTTCGAAACGCGTTAGCTTCTCTCTGAAAAATTTTGAGGAACGTGTTCGAGGAATTATTCCATTTCGCTCGATAAATTCTATAGAGATTGGCCGCGTAATTAATAAAGTTTGGAAATTAATTTTAATTATTCATATCGAAAGTAAGTTATGAAAGCAACATTTCCATAAAGAAACTAACCATGGGAATAGAACAATGCATATTCAAGGTGTACGGTTGTTTAAAGTGATAAATATGGTAAATCAATTAAGCTACAAGTGTAATATTTGACAGGAGTTTCGTAATTGAGCGAGACTAATTATCAGACTCATTAATAAATTTACTCACCATCGTGTCAAGCTATAACCGCTATTTTCACAATAATTACGGAGTTATAACACTCATATACATACGTAAGATTAATGTTTTTTTTTTATTTACATTTAAAGCGAGGTATTCTTCGATAGATAACGTAATAATTGATTTCTCATTAATTAACAAGCGAATCACAAGTTTCAATTCATTACACATTACTCACACAAAATTTTCTGCTAAATCTGATTGATCCATATTCTTTTCTGCTTATCTTATTAAATTATAATTATGCCTAAATTCAATGTTGTTAATTAAATTAAAACAACTATTATAGAATCTATTCGCTTTTACGTCTAATAAAAAAACACAAAAGATTTGAAACACGAATTTAAAGGTCATACTAAAGCTATTTTAGAATCGTATAAGATTATGCAAAGCCCAGAAATTAAAAATTTCTACATACATTCATTTTGAGGTGACATCGTTCAAGTTTATTCGAGGCTTAGTTAAACGTTATTCAAGGCTACTTTCAAAAGATAATTCGAAATTATTTTCAACTCATTTAACAGTTATTTAGTTCAAATTTTATAATACAACATACATTCAAAGTAAAGAATTTAGAAATGAAGAAAGCCAGTTGAGAGTTTGGAGATGTTTGGACAATTTCATAAAATTTATGGAAATTGTCAGGATGATCCACTAGATCAACAAAAAAAAATCCTGTGTGTCGATGATTATTCAGATTTCATTGTTGTGGGTGGTGCACGTGTCGCACGAGCCGTGAGGACCATCATAAACCAGTAAATATTTGTCGTGGTACTTGATATTCGCGAACAAGCCATAGTCCGATATTACAAATCATTTCGCGAACCTAAATCAATTTGCGTTGCGAATCGTTCGTTTTCAGTCCTCTTTTAACGTCTCTTTCAACTTACCGCGATTTAATTAGCCTCCCACGCTAGATCGGTTCCTTTCATCAAGTCATTTCATCGATACGTATCTACGTGCAACAATATTTTGTAATTAAACTTTTTGTCGCCCGAGAAATTTACATGCTCTCAACACAATTTTCGCAAAGGATCATTAGTGACGTTGCAATATCATTTATTGTAATAGTGGTTGCCGACTTAGCTTGCAGATTCATATCTGACTGTATTATCTGGTCACGAACGTTTCGTATAGTCAGCGTACATTATAAATGAACCTATTATTTAAAAAAATGAAGTGTAACGCGTGTGTTTCGTATGCTCATGATTGAATATTGAACTTTCTTTCGAAACTTCCAAGGGAGGAAGTGGATATTTAAAGTTTTTAAGCTTCGGCATTGCAAAGTTGGCGTTCTTTTTCAAGAAGAGTTTTTAAACAGTTTTGCGTCATTTTTATTACTGCACCATTTTTTCACGTTATTGTGTTTTTATTCAATTTAATGACGATATTATTGAGAATTCAAAGTCGGCTTTATTTAACATATTATTATTACGTATACTATTAGTTCTGTATATGTTGCCTCTAATCGCTTTTTCTTTGCTTGTTTTATTTTTATACATATTTTTACTTTTTATTTAGAGATTTATATATATTTTCACTTTTTATTTAGAGATTTCTTTCAAATCGATTCAAGCGTAAAGTCTTTTTTCGAATGGAATTGCGCTTCTTTACCTGCTGAGTTGAAAAGA